TGATAGATAGATGATAGATGATAGAAAGATGATAGATGATAGATAGATGATAGATGATAGCTAGATGATAGATAGATAGAGATAGATGATAGATAGAATAGATGATAGATGATAGATAGATGATAGATAGATATGATAGATGATAGATAGATGGTAGAATGATAGATGATAGATATGATAGATAGATGATAGACAGATATGATTGATAGATGTGATAGATCACATAGATGATAGATATGATTGATAGATGATAGATGATAGATATGATAGGTAGATGATAGATATGATTGATAGATGATAGATAGATAGATGATAGATGATAAATAGATGACAGATGATAGATATAGATAGATAAAGATGATAGATAGATGATAGATAGATGATAGATGATAGATAGATAGATGATAGATAAGAAGAGAGAGAGAGATGATAGGTAGATAGATAGATAATTAGTAGACAGACAGACAACTGATAGATAAAGTGGATACAACTAAAGTCCAGTTTGACGTGAGTGTCGGAACGAAGGGCTCAGGGATGACCTTGAGCCTTTAGCCTGACTAGCGGCGGGGATGGGGGTTGGTCACGCGCCAGGTGATGTCAGGGGGCAGAGTGGGGGCAGCACGGGGTGAGGAAGAGAGGATGGCTTCAGAGTAGAGTGCAGCCGTTCTCTGTAAGCCATGTCCCGCTTGATGTGAACTGCAAGTGGAAATGTTGTGTCAGAATTTGAAGGTGTATAAGCATGAGCCTCACGAGTCAGAGCTGGAAGCATAAGCCTGGGAGAAAACAGTGTAAAGGCACTGCGTCTGGCCCTGAGGGCCTGACTGGGGGGGTCTGGGAAAGGCAGGAAGAAAAGTATCTTTCTTCCCTGAATTGTTCAAAGTTATTACTGAATAAAACTAATTGAATTTTCAAGTATGCTAGATTTTGCTCTTCATTATGATTCGTACCTAAATATATAATATCAATATGAATTCATTTATATATTTATAATAAATAACAGCTTTATTTCCATCTCTCAGGCAAAGAAAGTGATGGACTTTAGAGAGTATCTTAAGTGTCAGAAAGTTAATAAATCAATGTCTTCAGGGCTGAGAGAGGCTGAATTCAAGAAATGAAACAGGGGCGTGTACGTGCAATCCATTTCCTCCGCCCGCTGCTTCCGCACACATTTCTGTGCCCAGTTCCTTTCCTATGTAAGACTGGGGAAATAATGAAGAATAAACAGCAAAAGCAGAAAAGACTCAAACATGGGAGTGTGTGTCTATGTGTGTGTGTGTGTGTGTGTGCGCCCGTGTGTGCAGCCGCACAGGCCAGCGCAGTGGGGATGAGCTTTTGACAAACCTCAAATTAAACAAGTTGAAAGAAAAGAATTTGAGGGGAGTAAGAAGCAAGAAGAATGTGTGAAGAGAGAAGAAATTCAGGTGTGTGGGGTGGGTGACTTGGGCAGAGCACCTGCCTTTCAGCCCCACCTGTTATTTAGGGGATACAATGATTTTTAAAGGGAAATGGCTAGGATCAAGCTTCACTTCTATTCCCAAATTTTCATGAAGTATGGTGTTGTGTGAACTAATCTACCACTGATAGTTTTATTAACCATAAAGCATATGTTATTTGAAATATCAGTGTTCCAGAAAGAAAATGTCAGTTTTCATTTCCATTTTGTTTTGGTATCTCCCTAGTAGTTTCTAGTGGATTTCCGGATTTAAAAAGAAAGGTGGGGGTGGGGTGGGGGGTGGCAAGGAACTCTGATAGAACGAACATTAGTGGTTTTACATTAAAATAGAAAGTATAAATTTAAAACCTTTTAATTACAACGTTGAGCAAATATAAAAACATGACACAATACTAAAAAGCAATGATACATCCAACATTAAACCTTTAACATTGTAGCACGTATGTTTTACAATTCTCTATTAAAACTTTAAATGAAACTTCATGTTTAGTGTTGTGGCTACTCTTCTTTCTCTTGCCTGCCATTCCGTAACTTAAATAATGCTAACAATTATTTTGTTTATCTCCTAAAGTTTTTATTTTCTTACATCAACAATATGTCGTCATAAGGGTTGTTTATCCCGGATGCGTCCATGGTGTGAGCATCATACTGCCTCTTGCACGAAGTATGGTACAAGCTCACCACCTAGTGGTCAGCGTGGGAATATTCAAGGATTTTAAAAATAGAACCCAGCAGAGTGGATGGAGTTCAGTGAAATATTAAGTTCACTGATTATCTTTGAATATAATAAAGTATAAATGTTATGTAAAAATTATTCTACTAGCTAAAATGTGAAAGGGAAATACACCTTTTATATTACTATCTGGCATTTATTTCATGAAAAGTTACCAATTTCCCCCAATTATAAAAAGTAGCCATAGGTATGTATGTCTCTTGATCAAAGAAACTGGAAGTTGTAAGTGGACTGTTAGACGCATCCATATATATGTGTGCATATACATATATATATATATGTATATGCACACAGAGGTATATATACATACTTTTATATGTACACATGGAAAAATTCTCAATAAAAGCTAAATATAACTTTTGAATGTCCTAGAAATAGTCATTTCTAACATTTTGGTTCAGTGTTTCTAGTGAGGTTTTCCACATGTGTACTTTTGTGTAAGGCTTATAGTTTAAAACTATTTGCATTCTCCGTTTTCACCTGACTTTACACCTTAGTAATTTCTCATACTACTCTATAAACCCATCCAAATTAAGTATTCTACTGCTGTAATGATTCTTAAACCCTGAGGCAACATTTCCCAAGCTTTTATTTTTGATGTTATGTTCTCTAAGTGGTGAACTCATGAAAGCAGAGGTGTTTGGATCGAACAAAGTTAAACAAGCTTCTTTGGCACGTGACTTCCCTGAACACGTCATTGAGACTCACGAAGAGGGTGCGGGCCCAGGAGCATGCCGTATTTCTCCGCCTTAGAGCCCATGGTACACCTCTTCGTTGCTAAAGCAAAACGTTGCATTAGATCTTAATGTTTCTGAAACACGTGTTGTGAAATATTTTACTTAACACTGAACATATTTTAAATTGGAATCTGAAAATTGGACTTCGAGTGTGTAACTAATCTCAAAATCTGCATCTGTGTCCTGTGCTTCTGTGTTCTCATAATGCTGCTCCTACCGTTGTAAGACAATGTTGTTTTGGGAAACAAACCTCCATTTTATAGGCTCACTAAAAACTTCAGAGAGACACTCCTGGACTTTATATTGGAACCCGAACACCAAAACCTTTTCTCTTCTACACACTGCCTGCCTTAACCTTCCAAAACCAGACCTGCAGATTTGTGCAATAATATATCAGATCATTAAATTTTACATGATCAAAGGTTTATATGATGTTTAACAAGTCACTGACAATAAAATATTAGGTATGATATTTTTCAAACAACAGCTATGTATTTTCTACTCTTTAAGACCTTTTTTTTCTTTTTAATGAAAATTACATCTTTTGTTTACTCTTTAACTGGGAACCTAAAATCAAACCAAGTACAGGGAAGAAGAAACTCTATTCAGGAGTCGGTAGGAATCACTTTGCTTGAATTTGCTCTTCATTATGATTCGTACCTAAATATATAATATCAATATGAATTCATTTATATATTTATAATAAATAACAGCTTTATTTCCATCTCTCAGGTAAAGAAAGTGATGGACTTTGGAGAGTATCTTAAGTGTCAGAAAGTTAAATCATTATTATTTTTGCTCTATTTTTTTTTTTGCTCTATTATCTTTGCTCTATTTTTTATTTGCAAGTCTAAAGTGTTTTAGTGTTTGTTTTTTAAGGATTCCTCTAAGAGTGTTAAAATATACTAAGTCACCATATGCAAGGCATTTTCCTGAAACTTTTGATTAATATAGCAAATAGAGCTTTCCAAACTATCTGCAGTATACAGTTTTGAAGGTGCAAAATTCATTATGACGTGACTGCAGTATTTAGATAATGTTGATCATTAATAAATCTTTCCTGATTTAACCACTTTAAATTGTGTGTTTTGTTCCGAATATGTTTCCAGAGCACCTATCCTTTAAAGGGCCACAGGACTATTACTGGCAGTGAACACTACATTACGGGACATGTTAAGGGATATGTTACATGGTTGCAAACTAGAAGCAAAAGTCAGCTTTGAAGCGCTGTCTGTGAGCTGGAACCCCTAAGTCTGCACTAGTCTAGAGACTGATTATTTTCAATATCCTATCACTGATAAAGAAAAAAATGTATTTTTCCTAATACTGAATTCATATCCAACATTATACTTTGCTATAACTCTTCACTATTTCTCATATTTACATAGCCAAACTGTATACCTTCTTAGAGTTCTTATTTTACCTCCCAGTGCCCAAAATGTGCATTGTCATCTGGAGATCATGGACCATGTCTCCGAAGTTACTAGAATGTGTAAAATGCATACAGAGTAGGCTAATTTCATCACCATATATATATGTTAAATGATGAGAATAATAGTTTATATTATGCTGGATTAATTTTTCCCTGTTCTGAATTTCCATGACATTCACTGTTATTTTTTATATGCTTAAAATGCAGAATGCTTAGCATTCTAGAAGCATATACTTTTCAAAATAATTTTACTGTTTGATTCTTTTGCGCAGTACAACTAAATTTAAATATACAGAATTGCAGTGCAGAGCATTATTTTATGCATGTTGTAGGCACTTAAGTTTTGCTAAATGAATGAGCCAAGTAAAAAAAAAAACCTGTATAGATGATGTACTTCATTTTTAGGACAGAAAATCCTCGTGCCCATTTTGTAAACAGCACATCTAGAGGAATTCCTCTCTGTTAGTAACACAAGAAATAATTTCCAGCACAGCCACACTTCTGAGAACGGAATGTCAGATCATTCATCTCAGTCTGATGGCAAATTATTATTCTCATCTTTTTGTTTTTAGATTGGTAATGTGAGTGATTTACTACTATAAAAAGTTACAACTTTTTTTGTTGTCTTTTTCTTCTTGTTTTTAGCCCCCTGTGAAGGCAATACATTCTTCTGCCACAGCAACATGTGTATTAACAACACATTGGTCTGCAATGGACTCCAGAATTGTGTGTATCCTTGGGACGAAAGTCACTGTAAAGGTAATGATTAGTCCTTGAAGCTTGCAAAATCTCTCTTCCTATAGAGTGGGAAGAAGTTTATTCCAATGTTTATATATATCAGACAGTTTTAAAAAGACATACTGTATAGTGACTTTTATGAACAGGTAGTTTTGTAATCGATTTGTAAGATTTTTTTTTTAACTTTTACTTGTGGTATAACTGGAAGTTTCCTCGTCCACGAATGCACAGCGGACTGTCCATAGCACTTGAATGCCCGCCCCCCTGTGAGGGCCTGCAGAGCTCCCGGAAGGGGACCGGAGCTCTGAATGCAGGCGTCCTTTCTCATCAAACCTCGTGCCCCTCACTCGGTGGCTGTACTGCTCACTTATTTCGGTTTGTCTTCCCTGGACTTGGGGCGCATGCCCCACAGTGTAGTTAAGGACCATATGTGCTTTCAAGTACTCCCAGCCACTCAACTTGACTTCCATTTTGCTAAAAATGCTTTACTTCCTAATGAAAATAGCATCTAATGCCCCCACTCCCTTTTCTAGCTCATGCACAAAGGGTGGTTTGCATAGACAGCAATCCTTGGCTTGATAATGAATGCTGTGTGTTTTAGTTAAGTTGAAAGTGCCAGATACAACCTTTTATTCAGATCCAATAATAACCAATTTGCAAAGGAAAAGAAACAGGCAATTAACTCTTTCAGGCTTCAAGTCCAATATTATCTATTAAAAAGTGAGCAAATACTGTTGGAAGAATGGCACTGATAGACTTGTTCAATGCAGGGTTGCCACAAATCTTCAATTAGTAAAAAACTCTGTACCTCTGAAGCACAATAAAGTGAAGTGCAATAAAATGAGGTGTGCCTACAATTATTTTGGAGTTAGTTTCATGGCGTAACGTACGGTGTGTCTTAAAAAATATTCCACGTGCCCTTAAAACAAATGCATTTTGCTGTTGTTAATTGGATTGTTGTATAGAAGTAGGCTTAGACCATTGTTCCAAGTCTTTTATTTCTGTTTTTTAATTTTCTACCATGTTTTATCCATTACTAAAAAGTGCCTATTGAATTCTCTACTATTATGGTTGAATTGTTAACTTGTCTGGTTCTGTAAGCTTTTGTTTCATGTATTTTTGAGCTTGGTTGTTAGGTCCATATATATTTAAAATTGTAGTTCCCTGATGGATCAATCCTTTTATTGACCTTAATAAAACTATGCTCTTATTTTTACTAACTTTTTTTTGCCATTAAGTATTCTGTCTGACGTCAGCATATCCACCCCAGCTTTCTTATGATTGTGGGTTGTATGCTCTATCTTTTTCATCCTTTTTACACTATCTGTATCTTTGACTGTAGAGCATCTCTTCTATAACAGGATAGAGCTGCTGCTTATTTTTTTTTTAACCAATCTGACAGTCTCTGCCTTTTCACTGGATTTCATTCATATTTAATGCTGGCGTTGCTATGTAGTTGGATTTACATCTGCCATTTTACCTTTTGTTTCCTATGTGGCTCTTGTATGTCTCGTCCCTCTTCATTTTATTGGACTCTGCTGCTTTGGATAAACACATCCTAGTACACATGTTAATTTGTTTAGTTGCTTTCAGTGTATTCTTTTGAATTATTTTCTTAGTGGCTGCTTTACGGCTTACAATATACAGCCTAACTTCTCAAAATATATTTCAGATGTTTACCAATTTAATTCCAGTGAAATACAGAAACATTATCCCTACATAGCTCTCCTTCTGTCTTCCTTTGTACCTATTTCATACATATCACATCTATGCATGTTACAGATGCAAGAACACATTGTTATAATTGCTACTTTCCATAATTCTAAAGCAAGCATATAATAATGTAGTTCATTACTGTAACCCTCTTATCTATCATTCTGTTCTCCTCATTTGTGTTTGTGGATTCCCATTACCATCTGATGTCACTTCCTTTCTCCAGGAGTTCTGCTCCCATCCATCTCCTTTGTACGGTTAATAACAAAAAGATTACATTTCTGCAAATTACAGGCCCAACAATATAGTTTTATACATATAATATTGCGCTTTAAAAAAGTTAAGGGAAACATTCAGAAGAAACGTGTAACTGTATTCTCATAATTATTTAATAATTGCCTTTATTGGCAATATTTACTTGCCTTTTTAATTGTTTGTATGGATTTGAATTACTGTCTGGGGTCACTTGCTTTCAATCCTAAGAATTTCCTTCAGTATTAAGGTAGGTCTTTCAGCACTAAATTCCCTTTGTTTTTGTTTATCTGGAAATGTCTTTTTCTCATCGTCACTTTTGAAAGAGGCAGTGCAGGATGTTTGGTTTTCAAGGTTCCGTTTTTGCCTGCAGCATTTTGAATATGTCCTTCTCTGCCTGCGAGCCTCCGTGATTTATGACAATAAATCAGCTGTTTATCTCACTGGGCTTTCCTTCTTTGTGATGAGCGATTTTTCCCTTGCTGTTTCAGGGTTTTCTCTTTGCATTTTAACACTTTTAATATTATATGTCAGAGTGTGAATCCCATTGCATTTACAGGGAGTTTGCTGAAATTCTTGGATGTGAATTTGCTCCTCAAATTTGGGACATTTTCACCTCGTATTTACTTGTTTATTTTAAAGAAGTATTTGTCCTGTCCCTTTCTCTCCTTCCTTAGAGTCTCATTACATTATGTTGGTGCATTGGAAGGTTTGCCTCATTTTTCTGAGGCTCTGGTCATTTTTCTGCATTCTTAGGCTTTTCCAGATGACTTCGTTTCCTTCCTCTGTCTTCAGGTTTGCTGTCACTTCTAGCTGAGAGGCACTGCCTACTCACTCGAGTGAAGTTTTCATTTCAGTGACTATATCATTTCAGTTTTCGATTTTTTCCTTTTTTCCAATTTCTGTTTATGGATATTGTCTACCTGATAATGTATTATCCTCGTATATTCCTTTACTTCTTTAATCATTTATTTTAGTTTTGTTGATATATTTATAATGGCTGTTTTGAAATCTTTGTTAAGTGTGATATCTGGTCTCTCAAAGGCATTTTCTTTGCCTCTTTTTTTCTTTTCTCTGTATGAATTGCATTTTCCTGTCTTTTTTTTACAAACCTTGTGGTATTTTGTCGAAAACTACGTTAAGATTATATTTTGTAGCAACTCTGGATACAGGATCCTCCTCCCCAGGGCTTGTCCTGTGATTCGTTGTTCCCTCGTTTGTAAGTGTAGGCTTGACGCCCTGTTTCAGGGAGTTCATCCCTGGCAAGGTTCCCTGGGGACTGAAGCCCTGGGCATGCGTACCCCAGCCTCAGATGACCGTAGGCTAGCAAGGCTCTCCTGACTGTCCTTTCTTCTTGTCCCTGTCTGTCTGTCTGCCTCTGCTGCTATCACACCTAGCTTTCAGTCTCCACTAATTGTCAGATGATTGTTCTATCATTTTTGACAATGCCCAGGAGCATAAATTGTCTCAAGGTCTGATCCAACTATATTCAGTTCCACTGCAGGACTAGACCTTGAGTCAAGCCTTTGAGGTTTGTTCCAGACCAGGAGGGCGCTGAGCAGTTACTCTCCTGGTTTTTTATATTAAACTTATAGGTCCTCTAATGTTTAGCTTGTTGCTGCTGAGGAGCTAGCAGCCTCCTCTTAATTGCTTACCAGAACATTTCCATTGTTTTAGAGATTTCCCTAGGCTTGAATTTCTCTTTACTCTGTTCAAAAAATATATATATATATAACTTTTTTAAAGGAAAGCTCATGTTCTCTGTTCTTGTAGCCTGCCTCTCTTCGTAAGTAGAATTTTTTTTTTTTTTTTTTGTTTTTGGGGTCTTTTGGTTTTGGTTCTTCTTTTTTTTTTTTTTTTTCCCTGGTTTTAGGATAGAAGGATGGTGGATATGGGTAACTTCTGGCTGTCTCAGCTTGCCTCCCCAGGCTCCCACTCTAAGAGTAAGCTGGGCCGAGTGTGCCTGGGGCCACACCTTCTCAGTCCAGTCTGCTGCCCCTCCCGAGCGCTTCTGTCTCGCCGGAGAGAGCCTGGAGGAGGAAAGGAGTCCCCATCTCAGCCCCTCCTGCCTGGAGGAGAGCACCTGCATTATGGATCTGGGGTCGGGGATGAGAAATGCTAGTGGTTTGCTCCTCTTGGGAAAGTGCTACAGCGCTAGCCTGGGAGCTGCAGAAGAGAGGGAGCCATGTATGGTCTGGAACTTCCCCGAGTACAGTTCCGTCATCAGGCACTGGGGCTGGGAGTTCAACGGCCAGATGCCCCTCTTCTTAAAGAAATTTAATACTTTGGGTTAATGCACTTATGTTGGCTGTGTGCCATTAAGACAATTTCCAAAACCTTTAAATGGTTGGATTCTTTTAAAAATAGTTTTTACCAGTTTTGGTTCTTTCGTTGAGGAAAAGACCCCTTGAAGATGAAGTTTCATCACCTTTTGGTATCAGAGTATTGTTGTTACTTTGACTGGAGTTATCCACATCGGGAATAAATTTAGAACAATATAGATGCACGTTTCCAATAGTGGAGTTTGGAGGTTTGCTTACACCTATGAGAAGACAAAGAATGCCCTGCCATGCTGAAGCCTTGTAAGACCTTCTCCAAGCCTCTATTTACCCTTAAAGTAGGGACGTTGGGCAGTGGAAAAGCTGCTTCTAAGGCTGGAAACATAGGGCCCTTGTGAGAAGTGAAACTTATATTTGAAGATCTGTTGATGCTACCTTAGGCCTGTAAGGAGTCTGTGCTCCACGTGTTTCATTTTAAAGATTAAGAAATCTACCTTGACGACCATATTAATGCGTGGTGGGCTTTTTTTTTTTTTTTTTTTTTTTTGTCTTCACCCTCCTCGACCTGTAGAGAAGCGGAAAGCCAGCCTGCTGGACCAGCTGACCAACACCAGCGGGACTGTCATCGGCGTGACTTCCTGCATTGTGATCATCCTTATTATCATTTCTGTCATTGTGCAGATCAAACAGCCTCGTAAAAAGTATGTCCAAAGGAAATCGGACTTTGACCAGACAGTTTTCCAGGAGGTCTTTGAGCCTCCTCACTATGAGTTATGCACCCTCAGAGGGACAGGAGCCACCGCGGACTTCGCGGACGTGGCCGATGACTTTGAGAACTACCATAAACTGCGGAGGTCCTCTTCCAAGTGCGTTCACGACCATCACTGTGGATCCCAGCTGTCCAGCGCGAAAGGCAGCCGCAGCAACCTCAGCGCGAGAGAGGCCTCGGCCCTGGCGGAGATGCCCCCGCAGCCTGGCAAACCCCTCGCCCCGCCCACGAACAGGAGGAACATCCTCGTCATGAAACACAGCTACTCCCGGGACGCCGCCGAAGCCTGTGACATCGACGAGATCGAGGAGCTGCCGACCACGAGCCACAGGCTGTCCCGACACGAGAAAGCCGTCCAGCGGTCAGTATCAATCGATTTTTTGATGACAGCTATAACCTGAGGACCGAAATGCTGCCAGAATGTTGTGTTCTATTTTTGTCTTCACATTTCAGTTCCTCTTTTTATTAATGATTTAAACCCTAGTGTCTCAACGTTTTCCCTTTTCGGAGCTATCCCTACTCTTCCTAGGTCCCATCTACATGCGTATGTGCGCGTGCACACGCAGACCAAAGACATTCCATTATTTCTACACGTACATCATATTTAGTTCTGCAAAAATTATGGTTTTATTCATATTACAAGGTATATGGCTAGTTTGCTTCCACATGGTCGTGAATGTTGCTCCCATCGATATTTAAACATTTTAAGATATGAAACGATATTGGAAATAAATGCCTTACCAAGGTGGCTAACCCATCTTGTTGAATAATTTTAATGTAAAAATAACACATTTTGCAATGCATTATATTTTTGGTATAAAAATTAAAATACTTTTTTCCACATATCACCTACTTATTTTACAAGTTGCATATGTTAGTATGGTATGCTAAAATACTGAACATTTATATTTAAATGTAGCAAGGATTAGTAGAAACATTTGATTCATTTTCCGTTGAATGTTATTAAATATGTATTATTATTATTAGCCTTAAAAATAGTAAAAGTTTTGAGGAAAGAAAATTTAAATTTAGAAAAATGTAAAGCCCCACGTCCAATCTTCTTACATTCTGTTTTGCATGTATATCATAGCATTTAGATTGTTTTTTAAATTTACATACTTTCTCAATTCATTATACATCTTCAAAACCAAAAATATTTTTAGGCGATTTAATATTTTTGCATGCTGATGGAAAAGGAATCTATTTCCACAGTTTTATGAATTTTTAGGAATGCTTTTAAGTGAATATTTGTGTGCATATTTATTTTTGTGCAAACATTACTTTGTTGAGTGAAATAGCCGTAACATTCCAGGTTCTGCCTCATTGGGTCTCTAAGCAAACATGAATCTGAATACAACACAACTAGGGTCTAAAAAGAAAAGTCAAGGTAAGCAAATGCCCTTGGTTCCTTTTCCCACTTTGTTGAATCCTGTTTTGTTTTGTTTTGTTACAATTGTCTTGTAGTTTTCTAGGCAATGTGCTATTTATTACTTCTCGAGAATATGTGTTTCATAACATTTCATAATTAATGAATATAATGGCTCCAGTGCTGGTGGGGGAGATGAGTCTCAGTATATATCTTTAAAACCAATGTTAATATTCTTACCCTCAAGCATTGTACTACGCTATTAAGAAGGACATTAAATTAATTAGTTAAATTTTACATATTTTAAGGTTAGGATACAAAAATTAGTGAACTCTTCAAAAAAATACCAGAAGAAATCCAAGTTTTTTTGTAATTAAAAAACTAGAATATTGTCACAGTATAACTGAAGTCAATATATATAAAATTGGTAATTATTTTATTGATTTCATTTGGCAATATTCTACTCAAAACTAATACAGAAGTATTTGGTGATACTTAGATAATTTTTGCACTTTTATTTTTGCATGAATATGTAGCTTAGTTCATCAAAATTAAATGTAGCATGTTCTGTCAAATTTTACAGTATAAAATTTGAATGTTTGACAATGTAAAATGTTCCATAAATGCTAGTTGTCCATGTGTGAATCTACTTTGTCATCAGATACAATGGCTTTACTTTTAGCACTGATAGTCTATGTCTATATTAGACTAATTCGTCTCCAATTAAATTTGCTTGACAGCTAAACTCTTCAAATTCTCCACGCCTATCAACTATTCTTGAATTAGGTGAATGCATTTCCATGTTGTATATGACCTTGATATATTGGTGTATTTGTATGCATTTTTCATTGGGAGAAAATGTTTTAACTGTGTTTTATTTTCAGAGAAGAACTATTTATACAAACATGGGGACTTTGAAAAGAAAATTCTATAGTGAATTGTGAAAAGTGGACATATTTCTAAATTCATTCCACTGCCTTTATCCAAACTTAAGAATTACAGACATTTGTCACTCCTTCAGCAAGACATCCCTGCTGCACAATGATATGTTCATTTCGTAATTTGGTTGCTGGCCACCAAGTGCTCCTTAGTTTTTAAATACATTTTGAGATTTACTGGAAACTTGAAGAAGAAATTAGTTCCTGTTTAAGACTGTCCCAACTTTTACTTTTACTGTTGGTTTGACCTTGTTTCTGTGTTGTTTTATGTCTTTGTTATATAATTATACGTTGTGTGATATGTGAAAAGAAAAACATGATTTTGGATGAATTTTGTGTTACATGTACATTGTTTTCATTATATAGACTGCTTGAGAATAGTGGGTTCCTGAGTGATTTTGAACATGCTACAGTGGAAAGTGAAAACATGGACCATGGAAACACCAGTTAGAGATTTTATGGACTATAAACATCTGTTGTTGTATCATGATTAAATGCAGTAAAATTATTAGATTGCAATAAGACAAATCTCATTTTTTGGTCTTCCCCCTATACCTCCAATATCTTTTGTGTTTTATATTAAAGGAAAATACCAAGTTTCAGAAATAGTTTTTGAAATCGGGTATTTTACCATTTACACCCTTCAATAGAAATGTGTTTTGATTAAGCACTTAGCAATATGACTGAATTGACAGTTTGAGAAAATACCCTGCATGTCAGTCCTGGATATTTGAGTTGGAAAAATATCTTTTGTATTAGACACATTGTAAAAAGCATGCATTCTGGAGTACTGCTGTCACTCTTCCATTTCTTTATGTCATATGCTTGCTACTTGTTAACTTTTTATATAAAGATACATAAAATTGTATAATAATTTCCTATCTTGAGTTAAGAGAAATGTTTTCTTCTATCAGAGTGGTAAAAAACTGACTTACGTAAGTACATGCTTTATATCAATTCTTTCCACTTGTTTGGCTATACGATGTCTTTTAGTATCAAGGCTTACTTCTCTAAAATTTGATTTCTTTTATGGAATATGTTCTCCTTTTAGAATAGGAAAATCTTTTAAAAATGCTCTTAAAATCACAGACACTTTGATGACCCAGATTACACCATTCGGAGTTGTTCTTCTAAGTAGACACACATATGATACCTGAACGCTTACTAATTATGATGTGTTTAATATAAATAAAGGAAATCATATATTTAATTGCTTTTGAATTACATACACTATAAAGTTTGATTTAGTGAGTGGTTCACTTTCTAAATATTTATTATGTATTCTTAGAAAATAAAATTTAAAAAGCAGAATTACTATACATCTGCTTACCAACATTTCCAAAACTGCTGAATTCTATGGAATCCTGTCCTTCAAATAACAAAGCAGTCTGGTCTATCACAATTCAAACCTTGCAACTCAAGAAAGCTTTACAAATCCAGCATATGAATTACTTGCATACATCTCTATTAGGGGTTCAAATTCATATATGCTACAACAACAAATAAATGGGAAAGAAAATAAAATTTTCTGACAGAAAAATTAAAGAATTATCATGGCCATTCTGAACAGCCTATAGTGAAAAAACGTCAATATACAGAAGTAATTGCTATCATGAATTTCATAAACTGGGGAATAGGAAAAATGTACATTGAACATGACAAAGAAAGATTATTTTTTATTGTTTTATACATATTTTTATACACATGGCTTATGTTAGAATTTAGCCTTTTTTATTTGTTTTGACTGATTTATTTATTTTCAGGTCAATGTTTATGCCCTTTAATTCAAAGTTAATGCATCCAGGGATTATTTTTTGAGGTGACTAGCCATATTTTGTATTTTTTCTCTATTAAGAAATCCTTATAGGTCCTTTACACTTTGAATGTATAATCTCAAAAAAGTATGATATGCATGTCAAGACTTTTTACTTATAAACCAAAAGAGACAGGAAAATAAATTAGGTGAACCATTTACCATTTACTTATCTTGCAGCTGCCCATAGGCATTCCCTCCAGTTCTTCCTAAATACACAGAATGTTTCTGATCTGCTGGTTCACCCCAGATCAGCATCACGAATCCACTAATAGAGACATTTTTTGAAAATCAAACTATTCTGAGTTTAATGATAAAGATGGACCGCTTGCACATGCTTAATCCATAACAGCTCCATGAGAAAACAGAACTATTCCAAATGAAGAATGGGCCTCCTCCACAGTAATACTAAAAATATTTAACAGTAGGAATTGACTAATCAGAAAAGAGGTGGAGATAAAGCTGGGTCAGGCACCTGGAGGCATCCAGGTTGTTTCCTAGTAATAACTCGAGGTACTGGGTCTTCAGAGAGTGGCTTCCATGAAAAAGGAGGCTCTTTAAAGCCAGTATTGAAATCTGTCAATGTATTAAAAACTCTAGTGTCCTGGTGATATCAGACCATATGCTCTGAATATCAATCATGGATTTACATTTATGGGGAGACATATGCAGGTAAGGAATGAGATGTTTCAAGACTTTCAAGATGTTTCAACAGATAATTTTTTTGATAACATGAATTCAACTATTACCTTCACAAGTGGTTTTTTTAAATCAATAAAATGTTTTCCAATCGCCTACTTATACACTACATTAGTTACCTGGAAATAGCTCTTTTCATTTTCTGCCTCTGTGTGAGTGCACTTCCACAACCTGGGCGGCCTGTCATGAGTCTGTGCGACCTATGAAGCCCTGAATTCAGGGTTTTCTTTTTTCCCAAGAGCATATTCATTGTTTAAGGTTGGTGTGCCAGTTTGGAAATACCATCTTTTTGTACCTACTTTTATAGACATGGCATTTTTATGCATCATATTGCAAAGTAGACCTATGTAATGTTTGGTTTGCCATAATTAACTCCCAGTTGATTAGACAATTAAAGTGTGGTGATAAGCATATTTGGGGATCAGTGGCTTTGGACTTTTAAAGGAGAACAACCCACATGGTGGCGATTCTGGGTTTTGTTTCATGTGGTTGTGTTTTTTCTTTTTTCCACTAAAGATATTTCAACGGGTCTGACACCACAAACTTATTCTTGTTGTTTAATAAAAGTAGGTCTTTGACATTACCTGCCTACTCACTGAAGCTCTTGCATTCACCTTTTCAATATTTTTCCCTTAGGAATTCAAATTTTCCTTAAATTTGGTAGCTTCTTAAAAAACTCCATGAATGGATTTCTTTCGACTTCAGAAAATCATAATAAACTGCAAAATAGAATACTGGTTCCTGTTACCTTAATTAAAGTAATGGCGCATAATTTACTAATGTTTTGGTGGAAAAATAAATAATACCATTTTATCTTACTTTGCAGTTTGTATATTTAAGTGATGAAGATGAGTCCTGTCAGCTTCCAGCTCTGAAGGGAGGTTAAATAAATAAAAACCTTTAAAGTTGTCTGAACCCTAAATGTACATGGTTTGAAAAGCGAGTTTCCATTTTGTCCAGCTCCGCTCCTTTAGCACGTTGACCTGTGCATTTTTCCCTCCATTTGCTCATTTCTGCCTATCATGCTCCTGACACAGAAGGTCCTGACGAAAAATTGTTAAACACACAAAAGAATAAAAGAAATAGGATTTGAATTAATTATTAATCTCTTAGCCATTTATTTAATCAATACTTCCCATTTCTCCCTTAAGGGTTGAATAAAGTAGCAAAATAAAACACACTGTTAAGTGAAGGGGGGAGTCTAGTAAACATAATGTTCCTCATGTAATTATAGATTAATGATACCAAAAAAAATACACTGTTAAAATAGCCTGTTGAATGATCTGTTCAGTAGATCTGAGGCCTTCAGTTAGTGTAGAATTATGCTGATAAATTGTATTAATGAGCTTGTTTAAAGGCTACTACAAAGTTCTTTAACTGAATGATATTATTCAAATAAATCCAATAGCTTAATAAAAATAACAAATATAGGTGGCTGATGTCAGCCACTCATAACATTCATCATAATTTATCCTGTCATCTGGTTCTACACTTCCTTATGTGTCCTTCAAGAAATAAATGCCCTCTTAATATGCCCTTAATTCCTCAGAGGAATAATAAACTCAGCCTGCTTCAGCCTTCAAGCATTCACTGAGATTGGTTTCCAGGAGGTTCTTATTCCTGCACCAGTGTGATCATATAGTTGAGCCACATTGTTGTATCTGTGACAGTTGTGTAGGGCACATGTTCTTGCTTGTCCCTAACCTCTAGCACCTCTCCAAACCCTGAGGCACGTTGTTTTACATTGATTCATTCTTTGAAAAGCTATTTATTTGCCCTCCTTTTAATAGTCACAGATACAGGTACAAAATATAAAGTGTCCAGAAAACCTATGTACAAATTATTTAAAAGAAAACATTTCTATTATATCACACTATAAAATTTATACCCTTTATTCACTTTCTCATGCATTAAATTTAACATCAGCATAGCCAGCCTTCTTTGAGCCTCTGCAATGCAGGCTTTTTCCTAAGTGTTTTGGGAATGGTGGGAAAAAGGCAACTATCTCGTGGGGAACAGAATTATGCTGTCTTATACAAGGGAGAGCTCTTAGAGAAGCTAGATAAGGAAAAAGAAGCCTAAAGTGATTTGCTAGGTTTTCATCTTGAAAGACTAATTAGTTACCTCCTTAGTCATCTTGTACGGGAGGTAAAAATATATTCAACTGTCAAGAGAATACAACGAAGGTGATGTTTTATAATGAAGAAGTTGTAGCACAGCTACGGGGATACAGATACCTTCTCAAGGGGTCAAGAGAGGCTGAGTGAATAGTTATCTTTCTAAGCGGGTCTTGAAGGATGGAGACCATTGTCAAATAGGGGATCAGGGAGCGATTTCCACCTAGAGAAACGAGCAGGGAGTAGTCTTGGAAGCCATGTGTTTGAATTGGCTGGAGCCCAGGAGAAGACACAGGAGTGATAGCAGATACAGTTGCAAGAATAGGTTGACATGTGCATCGTGATTTTTGAGAGTTCATATGATGCCATCCAAAGGAGTTCACATTTTATTCAAAGGAGAATATTTTAGTGTTTCTTAGCATAATTTGGCTTAAGAACTGTACTTTAAATAGAATGCTTTGACAGCAGTGTGTTTGCAAATTGAATGTGACGGGAGTAAAGAAAATCAAACCAATATAGAAACAACACGTTAAAAAAGAATCACTGGTGTTGTTAGATGTTCATCTTGCTTTTCCATTTATTTTCTACTCTGTTTCTTTTTTCGAGATCGTGGTTGGTTCACTAGCCCACATATTGAGTGCTGTGTGCTGGACACTGTTCCGAGTGTCTTCCATGTAACTACTCCCTTAGCTCAGCAATTCTACAACTAATGACAATAATGCTCGTTGTTACAGTAGTCGTTTTTCCATTGTGCAGCTGAGGAAACAGAAGAGCCTGTGAGTGATTTTTCAAAGATTGCACAACAGGAGGTGATTACTGTAAACCCAGGCTGCTCAGCCAGCAGTCCTCACCGATGTGCGATATGAACCTTTAATGTTCAGCTTTGAATGTTTCACTGAAAGAAGCTGATCTTATTCATGGTAACCCCATAGATTTGTGTCTCTTTATCTGTAAAAATATGTATAATAGTAGCTTCACCCCACAGCATTTGAGGATGAAATGACAGTGTGTTGAAAGATATTTTTATACATTATAATACATGACAAATAAATCATTTTTCCAAGTCATGTGTGCAATTTTTTTTTAATTTTTAATTTTTTTTCTATTGAAATATAGTTGATATACAATATTGGTTTCAAGTGTACAACACAGTGATTCAGCAGTTACACACATTACTAAATCCTCACCCCAACTAGTGCTTCAGCAGTTACACATATTACAAAATCCTCACCCCAACTAGTGCCATTACTCTCTGCCTGCCCAGGAAGATGTCACAGAGCCATTGGCTGTTCTCTCCATACAATTCATTCTATAATTGACACGGCACGAATGCATCATCTGTGAAGCGAGGTCGTGAAGAATGACTTCCAGCCTCCACGTGTCCCCAGTGAAATGGGTGCCTGAACTCGAAATTGGTGATACCAGCGTGGGGGTGCAGCTTTTACATGTGTGTCTAACCTATTTGTGCTCCAGAGTGGGAGAGATACATGCAGTCCTTTTATGAGTCTGTGAACCAGGCAGTGTGGGCAAACACAGAGCGCTCCGTGTCTGTATCTCCATGAAATTAGGTGACTCAGGGAAAGATCTCACCCTTCAAAGGCACTGATCAGCTGACATCAGTTTCTGAGGGATTATTACAATGGCGCCAAATAGAAGGAGCACAGGAGTTAGTCAGGTGGGAAAGAACAAGGGTCAGACATTGCCCATTAGCTCCTAATGTGCCCCCACTTGGCGTAAGTGGGAATGATACTGAACGAGACACCAACACAGACATTACTAATGGGTAATTGAGGGTTGCTCATTTCTAGAATGTAAGTATTTGATGGCAAGCATCCATCTTAGCAGTGTGGCTTTCCTGCCAAATAACTGTTCAGTGCATAGTCAGACATGTGTCTGCTGCATGAGCAAATGAGTAGAGAAATTACATTTAAATAAGTTAATAATTCCTTTTTCTCAGAAGCACCGCCCTGACCTGATCCTTAGCTTTTATTTATTGGCCCTTCCTTCTAGAAGCTACAGAACAAAGCCAAATTCTAGAGTAAGCATACAGGAGTACTATTTAATAACTATTGTTATGGGCACACTATCTTTCCCCTTTTTTAAAAAATTTAATCTACAGGATGTATTTTCAAACAAACTCAAAAGAGAAAAACATGGTAAGTTTTAAAGTCCAAAATCTTAGAATAACATTGAAATATAATTGCTTGAAGTATATTATCAGTTCAGTATACTTAGAAACCATTTAAATTTTAAACTAAAAAACTTTTACTTCTCACATATGCTAACTTTATGAATATAAGTGCCTTTTTCTAAGTAGCACTCTAGCTTTTCCAGGTGGTTCATTATTATTCAGATGTGTCCTATGACATTTTTATGTATTTGCCCAATTTTCTGAAAGGACAATCTTAATCTGTTAAAAAAGGTTAATTAACTCATTAACTGATAGTATTAAATTATTGTATACAATGTTTGTGCCCTTGGAGAAAATGTTTTCTCCCTTTACTTCTTTTCTACACCAGGAGTTTTCTCCCAATTACACTGAGACTTTTATAAAATATGTAGGTATTTTCTGGCCAGATGCTTATTCTTTGAAGGATGATGTTAGTTGGCCAGGTGGTACCCCTTCCCTTGGTATGGCCTGTGCTCTGAGCCACCTCACCAGGCATCTGGACACCAGCGTTTCCTTTGCCGGCTGACCGTCAGATCTAACGGGCTGTAGGGGAAGACGGCAAGACAACATAACAGAATTGCATTTTTGTGCCCTGTTCCTGTCAGCATCGCCCAAGAAAGGGCCCTTGGATTCAAGGGCTGCCTCCAGCTTCTTTCGGCCCATTGAGACCTAGCGCCCCAGCGCCCCTCAGAGGTGTCGACACCAGCCAGCCTGCCCTCCCCCATCTCGGCAGGATGCCTTCTGGGTCCTAGATTCTGAAAACCCCATTAATCCCCTCGTTTCCTCAGGGCTGCCTGGTTTATTACCTGTGTGTTACCTCCCTGTTCTCTTTGTGTTGTTCTAGCCTGTGTAGATTCCCTTTTACCACAATCCCTCGGTTGATCTATCTAGTATGTTCCCTGTATTACTGATCACTAGGCTATGATGGATTTTAACTGGAATTGTTTCCTTGTTAAGGACAATTAACATTCTTCCCTTAGATTCTTCTGCTTGTGAAACTTTGCCTAATGAAATTTCACACGACAAAGAAGTATTTGGCTAAGTTATTTCCGGAACATTCCTTCTACAGGGATAGTGTTTTATGCCTAGAATACATCATGTTAGAAAGAGCAAGAATTGCCTTTCACAGGGTGGGTATTTCTCAATTCTCATGGGACTTAAAAGAGGGACTATGATTTAGACTGAAATGACATTGAAATGAAGCATCAGGGGGCCTCTTTCTAATTTATATTCCTGACCTAGCCAACTCTAATTTTTTAATTCAATTACATGGGCCATAATCGATTCTTGTGGATCTCTAAATGTTACTTTTTTCTCTAGGAAGATAAAGTCCTTTTCAAAATGGTTGGCCAAAATGGGTCTCCTTATATCTCCAGGGTACAATGTTAATTGTCCTTAACAAGGAAACAATTCTAGTTAAAATCCATCATAGCCTCCTGATTAGTAAATACAGGGAACATACTAGATAGATCAACAGATGCTGCCCTGGTCTATTAGAAGTTTCAGATTTTTCCTGTATGAGCTAATAACTTAAATTCTAATTAATCAGTCACAGAGCTTGGAAAATTAAAATTTTATAACTTCATTTTTTTTACAGGGAATAATTTCAAACCTAATCAACTGGTGATAAGAATT